TATGATGTTTTGATGTGCATTTCATGAGATCAGTTATGGGGTCCCCACCTTCATTTCAGGTCCCCACCAATATTCAACAATATTCTAATCATATTAAAACTCTTTAGCAAATTACATTAAAATGTTTTCATAAAAAAAAAAAAAAAAACATTAAAAGTGAAGCCCAATTTTATATTATTTATTAAAACATCCTATTTCTCTATCTAGAATTAACTAATGTGGCATGTGATCCTATTTGTCTACAAAGATAAATCGTGAAAAAGAAGCAAAACAATAAAGAAAGAAAACTTTCCATATTTGGCAAAATCATCCATCATGCTTGGTATTGTTGACAAAGGGAAAGGGGTGGTCAACAGTCGCTTGCGCGCATGCAATTCCATGTGCTCTCTCTCTCTCTCTCTCTCTCTCTAGCTGCATTTATTTTCATCCAACAGAGAAAACACATATCCCCTATAAATACAACACTTCTCCCCTCATATGTATCACTAGCCTGTGTTTGAGCCTCTTCCTCATTTCTTGCAAGTTGCAACCACCAATCGTGCATCAAGTACTCCAAAATCTTCAACCTTATTACTCTCACGATTAAGATACCATGCAGATGCACCAATCACGAATGTTTTCAAGCCATCTGTGATAGTAGACCACCACTGCGTGGTATGTTGATCGTGAGAGTGATAAGCTTGAAGGAAAAGAAGCCGCTAGAGTGAACTTTCAAGATTAAACTTTCAATATCATAAAATATTTTGGCATCAGTAAAACTGTCATAATATACTTGCTCACATTGAGTTCCCTGCAATGTGAGAATCTTGTTGGTTTTGCTAAGCCCATGTTACTTCAATGTGTGCTTTCTCTCTCTCTCTCTCTCTCTCTTGCCCAACACTTGCATTGCCAAACGTCACCCCACGGGTAACACTTTTTCAGCGCTTCTTCTCAAGGCCACTTGCTGAATGGCACCTCATGAAGAATCTTTTCTTTTACGACGCCAAGGCCACATGCCGTACGGCCCCTTTTGGAGACACTTCTCCCTTACGGCGCCAAAGCTTCCTGCCGAACAGAATCTCATGAAGAATCTTCTCTCTTACGACACTAAAGCCACATGTCGAATGACACCTTTACGACACCAAGGCCACAAGCTGAACGGCACCTCTAGAGACACTTCTCCTTTACAACGCCAAAGCCACCAACGACACCTAATCTTCTCTCTTACGGCACATATGCCACCTGCCGAACGGTACCATGTCAAACATCACGCTTATAGCAACACCTTCAGCACATATAACCGTACATACATTTTCGGGTCAACATGTGACTTAGGCTCTATTAGGTACTTTTACCTTCTGTGGTCGACGGGTACTAAGAATTGGCTCAACAACTTTGTATTTATGCTGCATACAAGAGAAAGCGAAGAAGGAGTTGAAGCATTGCTTGGCCAATGCATTGATGACTACAAGTTCCCAATGAAGAAGTACCTCATTATTCGGGAACTTGGGGGACTCCTGTTTGTACAAATATTTGACCAAGCATTCCCAAGCCAATCCAAGCTAAGGGAAGGGAGTCCCACATCGACAAAACATAAGAAAATGGGACTCTCCCTCACTTATAAAAGAAGACCTCTCCCTTTCAAGAAGGGGGGAATTGGGCATTTTACTGGGGCTCCATATGGCTCACTGAGGCCTCATGGGATTACCCCATGAGCCCATTTACAAGCACACGGATCATTGGCCTTCAGCCAGATCCTCAGCCTCCAACCTTCCTACCTTCAGCCTTCGGCATTCTTCCTCTTCCCCTTGGGTCTAACCCTATGTGCTATGTATACAGCTTATCGTAATGAGAACATCCTTTTCTGTGGACGTAGCCCATTATTCGGGTGAACCACGTACATTTGTCTTATGTATGTATATCTATTTATTTACCGAATGCTATCACATACTGAGAGTCCTCACCTTTAACATCCACATCATCTTTAAGTTGCTTCTATTTCTATTTGTTTAGTTTTAGCACTAACAAGAGTTAAGAGAGACATTGATTTACCTCTGCTTTACACTCCCCGAAATTTTTTCAACACTGCAATGAGATCTCCTATAATGATTTGATTTTCCTTATGATGTTTTGATGTGCATGTCATGAGATCAGTTATGGGGTCCCCACCTTCGTTTCAGGACCCCACCAATATTCAACATTATTCTAACCATATTAAAACTCTTTAGCAAATTACATTAAAATATTTTCATCCAAAAAATAAATAAATAAATAAAATGTGACTCTTGTTGTGAAGCCCAATTTTATATTATTTATTAAAACATCCTATTTCTCTGTCTAGAAGTAACTCATGTGGCATGAGATCCTATTTGTCTACAAAGATAAATCGTGAAAAAGAAGCAAAACAATAAAGAAAGAAAGCTTTCCATATTTGGCAAAATCATCCATAAGGCATGGGGTTGTTGACAAAGGGAAAGAGGTGGTCAACAGTCGCTTGCGCGCCTGCAATTCCATGCGCGCCTGCAATTCCATGTGCGCGTTCTCTCTCTCTCTCTCTCTCTCTCTCTCTCTCTCTCTCTCTCTC